CTTATCCGCGGAGATGTAGCTGAGCAAGTGGCACCACGCCGACATGCCTGACCACAAGGCGACGCCGGTGTTCCACGAGATCATGAAGGCGTATAATGTCGGCTGTGGGACACGGTATCCAGGTGTGCCACATACGGTCAATTTCGTGTGATTCACATAGCTGAAGAGACTTCGCGTATGACAACACGCTACCCTCCATACTGCGCCCTGCCCCATCCACGCTGCATGCGCGGCATATGGCGGATACCGCCGCCCGCTATCGCCGCCCAGCCGCCCGTTCTCCCCCGCGGGGCCCCGCCGCCCCAGTTCCACTCCCATGCGAATCCACACTCCTCCCCTCCTCGCGTGCATCCCTCCCAACCATGGTCATATGGCTGTCCTGAAATGTCAGGGCTACGAACCGCTAGTAGCTGTTTGGCAGCCCTCCAAGAGCAGTGCTGATGGAAATTAGTAGTATCTCTGAAGCTAGTCTTGTATTCTGGTCATCAAGCAATGAAGATGATACTAGTACATTATACACTGCCCATATTTGACCCAGAATTTTCGCAGACCCTCTTGAATACATGCAATATATGCACATGCTAGAGCCGGGCCGATTCTGTGGAGAATCTGGCCCACGATAGTCGTGTTTCCACGTTGGACAGCTGGTGTGATGGAGCAGATACCAGAGCTCAACGAGTTCTGAACCAAAATTAAATATTTTTTTTGTAGAATACGATGCGCGAGAGTGGTTGGAACAGAATCCTCCACTTCTGACTCTTATCCGTTGAGAAATGCGAATTTTATCGCGGATTTTTCATTACAAGTGCCATTTTTCATTACAACGCCTATCATAGTACCCATAGCCACTGACTAGTCGTCACAAGTGCCGTCTGCCTCGCACGCAAGACAAAGGGTACCCGCAGACTGTTGGCCAAGTACAAGGTTAACCGTGGCACGAGACATCCCTTGTATGTGCTTCAATTCTCTTTACCTCGCCACTGCTAATACAGTCCCCCCGCCGCGGCTGCTACCTCACACTACTCGCCCACAGGTGACACCGCGGGAACAGCGCGGTCATGGCATGGCTGACGGTCACCGGTGTCTCTTGTCTAACAATCACATTCCCGTGCGTCCCCTTCCCCCCTCCTGCTTCTCACTTGAGCTGACTAGCGACCAGCCATTCCTCCCCCGACACGCCCGCCCCCGCCACACAGGGCTTCTGGCATCGCTGTCGGGACATGGCTGTCTTCCTAGCGGGCCGGGGCGTGCACGACCATGCCACTGTTGGGCCGTCCGGGCGGGACAGGTGCCTGCGCCGGATGCTCTGGACCATGACCTGGAGGAGTGGGAGGTGGTGGAGCGGCTGATTGGCGATGCGGAGGCCTGCACCCGACCAGTGCCGACAATGCCATTGACGAAGCTGTGATGTATTCAGCGGGGGGCGGCACAAGAAGGAGGATACCCAGTACATGGGGTATCTGACTAGCATACTGTTGTTTTTGAATTGAATACACATTTTTGCGTGGAGTCAAATTTTGAATGGGCAGTAGTGTGCACTGACAATTGCAAGCAAATCAGCCTTGAGAGCTTGAGGGTTGCAGCAGCTAAGCTACAAGGCAGTTACCTGGGTCTCCAGCTGGTTTCCAGACAGTCTGGACCCAGCATGGACCCATTTGCGTCCAAACATGGATGACAGATGGTGTCAATCCTGGAGCCAGCTGGCTGTCACACGTGTCTGCCGTGGATTTCCCAGCTATGTCAGAGCTGGAGAATCATTGGCGGTGTAAGTATGTTCTACCAACCTTTTTTTTTTTTTTTTTTTTTTTTTAATACCATCGCCGTGTGCGCGTAAGCCTCCCCGTCTCCAGCACTGACTACGGGGAAATCACCGGGTGGTCTGGACAATAGAGAGCAAAATCGCCGGCCGGGCGAAATCATGCCGGCAAAAGGGCTGATTGAAGCGGATCGACTGTTTCACCCAATCCGCCAACGGCAACATTTACCAACTGCCCTCAACACTCACCACTGAGGTTTTCGCGGCCCCTGGCGTCTGCACACACTTCGCGGCGCTACTCACTGCAGGAGTTCGGGAATAAATGGCGCCCCTTTCGATCAATTATACACTTAAAATCCATGCACCAAAAAAAGAAATTTTTTATGCCTCTATTTGCACCCCAAAAAGATCGTTTCAAATTTGCCTGCTTATATAAGAAATAGATGCTATAAATGGACTCAGTTTTGTCACCCACTTTGGGGGCAGATCAAACACCCTTTTCTAGACCAGCTTTTGCATCAAAATGGGGACCAAAAAATATGGTCCAGGGCCCTGATATATATCATATAAGTGAATATACATGAATATTTTTGGTCCTTGTTTTGATACAAAAGTTGGTCTAGAAAAGGCTGTTTGATCTGCCCTCAAACCAGTTGACAAAACTGAGTCTGTTTATAGCATCTCTTTTTCATATAAGCAGGCAAATTTGGAACAATTTTTTTTGGGTGGCAAATAGAGGTATAAAGAAATGTATTTTGTTGGTACATTGATTTTAGGTGTATAATCGATTGAAACGGGCACTGTTTATTCCCAAACTCCCGCAGTGACTATCGGACCCAGCCAGGGCCGAAGCACGTGCATGCGCGGTCTCCCCTTGGCTTGGTCACCTGCTCTGTGCACAGCCCCGCCCCCGACAACGCGACCATGGCCAGCGTCAGAAGCGCCCTCTGCGCGGCCACGATTGGCTGCTGATTACGAGGCGTCCAGATTGCGCCTAGGTGCAGGAGCGTGGGGGTCCGACTTCACAGTTCCCGAAGGCATCCCCCCCCCGCACATTGGCTGTTGGGGGTCTCAGAGGCACCGAAAGCCATGCCAAAGCAAGTCTGTGCGCGCAGCTCACACTGGAGGTAGCTAGCGCTTGACTGGGGGAGATTTGGCATCATCACATGACTGGACGATCAATCGGCGATTTCGCCCGACCACCCGGCGATTTTGCCCTACTCGGCGATTTCGCTCTGCCCAACGATTTCGCCCTACCCGACGATTTATCGTCCGTCGCTCATGGTTGGTGATCATTTCCCTGCAGGCACAGTGGGGAAATAACAAGCCCACTTCTCCGCCTGCAGCTGGTGCGTTACATGTGTCATCGCGCTGCCCGTCCCGTCCGGGTGCAGGCCGGACACTGGCCATTTGGGGCCGCCTGCTGTGACTGCTGACCCGGAATCTGGCTAGCGTTTGTCACACATAGGCGGGCATTGGCGTTGACCACGGGACTGAAGTTGGGAGTTGGGGGTTTCTCGTTAGCCAGCAGAGTCGACGAGAAATCGCCTTATCCAGGTGAATTCGGGCGAAAACTTAAGCAACAAGTGAATTTATTTAATGTTGGTCAAAAAATGTATTGGAATATTTGAAATTTTCCAGGTCAAAAAATTTATTAAATAGTCTAATATTTTCCGTATCAGAAAACTCATTCTACTATTCAAAGTGTTTTATTATGTCTCTCAGGCCTAAAAAAACAGTTAATAAACTCAACTTTTTCCACTTGAAAACATTTGTTCCAATAGTTTACATTTTACAATACATTTTCTCTTGGTCTCAAACCTAGTAGAAAAGCCCAATGTTTTTAGATGACTTTATAACTAAAGAACATTTATAGTAATACTTACCATTTGTAGCACTGAAATACCAATTTGTAAATTTTGGATTGTCCAATAAATTTTTCTCTGCTGAAAACTTGACCTTTTTAGTCCAGTTTGTATGATGAAAACATTTGTTAAAAAACCTTTGTCTCTTCCCACTAACGTTTCTGCGCTCAACATTTTTGAAACGCGGCTGTGTCTTGACCCTATACCGGTACCGCAAGTCTTCAAAATGCCACGTCGCGCCGACTGTAAAACCGCCGGTGACTACGCGCCTTCCGCAAGTCGCACACGCATCACATCCCTGATGCGCCAAATGCGACCTCTGTCGATCACGGATGCTCGGGAGCGCGGAGAGACGGCTAATCATAACTGGTGATCTCAATAAAAAAGAAAGTGGCCGTTTCCCTCCTCGGTGATCCAGCAGGAGACTTCGCATATGGGCGTGGCCAAACGGCGTGGGCCTGCGCCAACGGGCGTGCACGCCCGTGATGGCGTGGGCGGGCGTGGGACACTGTGCGGAGGCTACCTCCTGCTCTACGCTGCGTGAAGTGACGGCTCTATGACCGTCATGTAGCGGTCGCTTATCCGCAACACCCCACCAGAACGCATCAACATGTGTTGATCACCGTCAACCACGGTGCCAAGCAGGTACAGAGCACCCAGATACTTGGCAAACCACTCCCCCATCGACCACTTGGGCCGTGCACAGACTGTGCGCAGCTGCTTATGTCGCAAGGTGTTGGATTGTAGGCGAGGACACCGACTATCGCCAAGGGCTTCGGACCGGGCCGACCGAGGCGATTCGGAGGGCCGGAGGCGGACATTGGCTTGGCGTCTTCGCCTTCGCGTCCGCGTCGGGATCGGCGGGAGTGGTAGAGTTACAAGTGCTCCTCAATCTACTTGCCAGCGCTGGGCCCAGTCGGTGCCGCCAGTGAGCGCTTACCAAGGAGCGGCCAGCCGATGCGCGGCGGCACCGTGCGCCTACCGTCGGTTGGCCTACGGATGGGAGTCATGGGACGGATTGGCGGCCACCGAGGCACGTAGGAAAAGCAGACATATAACTCTGCCACCTTCGGACAACGCTCAGAAGGTTAGTCGTATGGAAGCCCACGCCTGTTTGTCGGGCGTGCCAAGCAGGACAAACGGGCGTGCCAAGCCGACCGATGGGCGTGGCACGCCTGATGGACGGGCGTGGGCTTTGATCGCCCGCCAAAACCCACGCCCACGCCCATCCACGCCTGTTGGCGCAGGCCCACGCCCATCGGGCACGCCCAAAAGTGCACTCTCATCCAGCAGGTATACGTATTCAAGCCGCGGCATTACGCCTTCTATAAGCTGTGATTCCTGTATCATCTGCATCCGCCACAGCAACTTGCTATTTTTCATAATCCCTCCACGAACTGCACCCACCGGCCTGCGGGGCCGAAATTCCCTGCGTCTTCCAGCTGCTTCGGCTCCGGCCAGTGACTGCCCTGCGCCCAGGTGTACCCCGGCCCGGAGTACATCGCCAATTCATCGCCATACACTTGCGGATAGACGGCGCGTGGGTGGTACTCCTGCATCATCACGTCCAACGCATTCCATGGCTCGTGATCCATCGCCAGCCCGATCTCCGTCGTCTCCCACGACCCGTCAGGGGACTCCTGAGCATGGGCATGCGAGGGAACATAGTAGTCGTAAACTTCCTGCGGCGCAGCCAATGGTTGCTGTGCTTGCCGCTGCTTGCCAGGCGTATTCACCGCCTCCGAGATCTCCGTTGCCGCGCTGGCCCGCTCGTCGGCCCCCACGATGGGCCCCAGCCCCGACAACGCCAGGAAGTCCGCCTCGTCCGCGAGCAGCTCGTTGCCCGACAGCTGCATCTGGATTTCCGGCAGGTGAAGATTGACTCGGCTTCGCGGGTTGGACACCGATGGCGCATGGACAGAGCAGAATATGAACGTTGCGGTATTCCGCAGGCGGCGAAGAATGCCCTGAAAACCATCGTTAATTGGCAATCGCACCCATTGGTGTGTAAACGCACCAAACTACCCGCGGCGGCCCCCATCCCCTCTGGCCCTCCACCCATACTGATACTCAGCTCTTTCGTATGCGCGGCCCCGCGCTCCACAATATGCGTCGCGGCGTACAACTCCCGCAAGGCCAGCGGGGCAATGGGCGAGGTAGGACACTTGGCCACAAGCGAGCCCACTGTAAACTGCAAGACCTTGTGAGTCAACATAGAACGCATGGATTACAGCGACTTACAGCCGCGTTGATCACTGTAGAGATTTTCAGCTGGAGCACCACAGGGAATATCCAACGTACAGCTTTTCCACACAACCCACCACCGATTGAATTGCTCTCCGTAGAGCTCAAAAGAACGCACGTCGTGCTTGATGACGAGCGACGCCCCGCGATAGGCCGCCAGGTAAGACGCGGCGTAGGGCGTCGACAGCGGGTCGTGTGGTCCCGTGCTTGAGTTCTGTGACGGCGGCCGGGAGAGCGCCTGGACGAATGCGTGACGGTGGATGGATTGCATGACTAAGGCGATTGTTAGATGGGCAGATCCGCTGAAACGACGCACTGTTCCCGTAGAATCGCGGCAGTATACGCGACTCGATGTACGCCCGGTACGTCGTCGGGTCCTTGTCGAACCGCAAGCTATAAAACAAAACATGGCCTTAGCGGGTGCGGAAGAAATATTAATGACATAATACCCACTTTGACTGATAATGCTCGCAGTCCGCTCTGCTGGTTTCGATAAACTTGCGCAGCCTCTTGTCCATGCCCATGACATCTTCGTACGACCGATTCTGGACACATGAGTAGCTGTGCGCGATCGTCGCCGAAACTTCGTGTGTGAAGCGGTATTTCAAGCGCAGCCCTGTTGTTCGATGCTGAGCAAAATGAGCCCAAGGAAAGTGAAGGACATACAGCCGGGAACGGTCCGGCCGTCGCTGCCTTTGGTGATCTGCAGGTCTTCAGGATAAGAGCATGTAATCTCGTCGGGCGAAATGGACAAAGGGCGCGATGAAGCAAGTGATTGGTACGTTTCGAAGGTGAAAAGCTCCCAGAATATCGTCTGTTTATGGTCAACTGCTGATAGACTGTATAAGCAAGGGACACGTACTTTACGGGTCTGCGCCACGTCGTGTTCAAGGTTGGTATAGGTACTTTCGCGGTCTAAACAAAGATGGTCAGCAGTGATTCAGTGCTTATCATGATTTTTTACGCAATCGCAACTGTGAAACTGTTAAAGCGACAACAAGAATATAATAACAGCGGTTTACCTTCTTCGCGGATGCCACAGCAAAACTAACCATGACCCAACTCGCATTGTCGCTGTACTGTCTCCCACCAGTTGCATGATATATCCCCATCAAAGCGAAGGCTTGCACCGTCTTGATGCCTCGCTCTACTCTCTCAGGATCGTTACCCGCCAGCTCGGCAAAGTCGGGGTCAAACAGCACATCCGCATGGGTTCCAGGCCCAGTTTTCCGTCCGCCCAACGCGGAAGACTGCGAGAATTCGATAACCAGCGCGGCGCGGCCAGCGTCGAAGAGGGTATCCGCCTCGGCGCTATACGCGGGGAGTCCATCTATGTCCGCTAAGGAAGCCAGCGCAAGGACGAAGAAAAGTATCCCCAAGGATCGACCGTCGACTCTGGCTAGCTTTCCATTCGACGTGCTGACCCTGCCTGCCCCTTGAAGATAGTCGCGATAACAGTAGACTGTGTCCATTAGGGTGTGGGCATCCTGCGGCGAGATAGCGGCGCAATGCCAGGAGAGAATTCGCTCGTACACATCCAGCACGGAAGCGGCCCGCGTGCGGTCGGGAAGGTACTGAAGTATAAGGGCGTCCAGCGCATAAACACGGTCCCAGGCTGGCGTGAGATACGTGTGGCTATATCTCTGGATACGGAGGAAGGGGAATCCGAAAGTCATCGTGTCGAAAGGGTTGAAGGATGGGTGATGATCCGACGAGGATTGAGAAGATAAGAAGGCCTGTTAATTTAATTTGAGTCCCAACGCAAGTGGAGGGTGAGAAGACGCACGGAAACCCCACCAGTCGGCCCGTAGTACCTCGGCTCGCCCTTTCCACCTGAGCTTATCGCTAGCGCGCCAAATGACTCTCCCAGCTGTAAATCCTCTTTCTCCGTTTCTTTGTCTGGTCGTTCACGCGAGCTCTCGCTCCCGTCGTCCTCCGCATCAAACTGTTTGATTTTCAAAAGCTCCGGATCCCGTAAAAGCGGGTGTAATTCCCCATCTGTTGAGGAATCGTTATGCGCGACTGCAATGGCGCGTTCGAGCTGGGAAATGCGGTCGCTCATGGTGCGCAGAACAAGGGTCAGATGTGTTGACGGCTTGTCCCGTGTTTGGCGTCGCCCGCGAGGTGTCGTTTGCGACTCTCCTGCGGAGATTTCAGAATACAAAATGCCCGAAGAAGGGAGCAAGTGGGGGAAATTACCCGACGGACAAATATCCGCTTTCCCTCGCCTCACTACAGTGAGTGGTCAGTTTAGATGACTGAACAAGTAGTAAAAGACACTCACCGCAGGAGGAACAAGGGATCTTCCGGTCGCACCGAAGTCTTCGCCTACGTAGAAAAACTAAGTTAACCCTCAGGCTGCCTTAATCAGACGGAGTGAATACCGTTGGCATTCAGCGCAGGACATCTAAAAAAGCGTTAGTGGCAGAAGATAAGCAATAGCAGCGAGCTCACCAGCCCCCTCGCACGCTTCATCTCTATCACCTCGGCGCTCGAAAGCATTTGCATTTGAAGCGACGTCATCGTTGTTTACTAGTATGCGGGTGCTTGACTCAGCAACTGGAGTTTGGTGATAGCGGATAGTGTTTTGCACTGTTCACAGGTGTTATGAGCGTGGCCTCTCAGCTACACCAGCTGCAATGAGCTCCACGACGCAAAGATTGTTATCCCACACTACCGCAGCTTGTTTGGCCCCCGGTCGGCGTCTGGACGGCAGTCCTATTGCAACATTGATTCATCAGCAGCATGCAAGTGCGGGAGCGGAACCGATAGCCAAACCTGGAGGGCTTCGCGTGGCAGCGGCGTGGGTGTCGAGAGAGAAAGCGCGCCGGCGCTGACGTGGTGCCGATCTCGCACGTGCGGGCCGTCACGCGTGACACGGGACACCGCTTCTCTTTTTCACTCTCTTTGCACTCTCTTCAAGGGCTTCCTGTGTTCGGCCATTGAAGATGGACCTTAGACCATCGCTCTCCCAGCCTCCATATTCTCCGAGGCAGCTTGCACGATTGCGCCACGGCCCACGGGCCATGGGCCACGTCTTTGGTCCGGACTCGGAGAGCTACTCAGGCTGTAGCAGCCACTGCCAGCCAGCTACGACACATTCAAGTATCTTCCCCGCCAATGATACTCACTCCAGGCTGTGCGGCTAACAGAATCACAGATAAGAAGCCGGTAACTTGAAACGACTACTCACACCGGATTTGGTAAAATATCCCTTGAAGTAGAAACTGTGCTAGATTCTGGTAGAATCTAGAACCAAATCAACCTATGGAGATTTGCCCAAAATATACATTTTTGAAACTGAGAATGATTTTAGTCAAATATATACTAGTTTTAGGCAGTCTGAGATGAAAACTATCTATGGGACTGAAACTATGCCTGAAATGGTTGATATCTGTGCACATATATTTGGTCATGATATCACGCACATCAAATGTGGCGAAAACTGACAGTGAAACAAAGGATTTCACTGACAGTTTCAGCACAGATGATACAAAGGAAATCAGCAGTGGAGAAATGCACATAGATTCTCTTTGTTTCTATTTACATTTCTCCACTGCTGAAACTGTAGATTTACAGTACAATGAAATCATTGTTGAAATCTCAAATTTATTCATGCCAGAAATTGTGATTAAAACTGTCAGTATATACATTGGAGAAATTGTAAGAGATATTGTATGTATATCAGTGACTTGAGGGTCAACCCTCAAGTTAACCCTCAAGTCAACCCCAAGGGTCTGATCTCCGGGTAGACCCTACAAGTTCAGTCTCCAGCTACATATTTAAATACATAATTAGCATGAATGGGATAACAACTTTGTAATGACTTTACACAAACTTTCTAATAAATGTTACCAGATTGTAGGGACCCTTAATACATGTTACTATTCAGTTTAGACCTATGCTTCAAGGTCAATGGTTGAGTCAGAAAATGCAAATTACTGACCCAACCCTGAGTTTTCAAAACAGTGGTAGGGTCATATCTTAATGAGTTCTTATCCGTTCCTAACATGTTATATATGAGCAGGAAGGTGTTCAATTGGCCTATAAACTGGTATTCAACATAAAGTTCATTGTATACAAAACCACAGACTTTATTACAAAATACATTTTGACTATTAGATTGTTAACCCAATTACTTGATGGTTTCTAGGCTGTTCATCAAAAGTTGGATATGGTCAGAAAGGTATTTCCAAATTCTACAAACTTGATTTCAACCCTGATATGGTTGATTACAAAACCACAGACTTTCACTACAAGTCAAGGTTTATTGAATTGACTTCAAAATCCAAAGTCAACCAAATGACTCCATATTGCACATAGTAGTAGAGCTTCATTGATTGAGTAAGTGTTCAGTTCAAACCTATTCAAAATTTATGATAGTTGACTCACAAAAGGTGAAATACTCCCAAAATATTGGCTTTGTTAGTTTAGGGCTAGCCTGGCTCAAATAGTATTAACACTATATTGTTGTGAATTTCCCCTTCCTGTTCACTGCTTACCACTTGTATGATAGAGCACAGGTACAGGTCTGGGTCTGTTTAACTTGACTCAGACCCTGACCCTGACCCTGACCCTGACCCTGACCCTGACCCTGACCCTGACTGTCAGGGTTCAGGTTGGGCTGTGCCAGGCTTCTCTTGAGAAACATGTACCCAGAACAGAACAGATGAATTGTCGGGCCATAAGTATGGCGGGCGGGTTCAAGTCGAACCAAAAGGGCCCGTTAAAGTGGGTGTTAGTGTCAAGGGTCAGGTCAGGTTGACAAGGCCCAATGAGTCGGTGTTGACTCAGTGATGTCTCCTTGCATAGGGTGAGGTAGTATAATAGGTGATCTAAGCGATAAAGTACAGTGTATACTATTATACCTTATATATGCCCTGCTGAGGGGTGATCAGACACCCTTGGCCTCCCCTGCTCCTTCCTATATCCCTGTCTCTGGCTGCAGAGAAGATGATTGCACATCCCTTGCAGGCCAGGCACTACTCCTAACATCCTAGCACTCCTTCCTGTTCCTTCATGCTGCAAGTTGGGCTCAGCGCAGGCCCAACACATCTTTCCTGGTCATGTGCTTCCCATATATACATTTCCCTCTACTGTGGTGTCTGTTCCTGTCATCACATCCTGTGTGTTATGGGCCCTTGGTGGCCTGATACCAGTGCCAGAGAGGATAGGCCAGGTCTTATCTGTGACACTGATCCTACCTAACCCTGACCCTACTGGGTAAGGTTGACTTGATCTAGGTTAACCCTCATGTCATATTTGATACAATTCAAAAAGCTCAAACAATCATTATTATATACTACAATTAGTATTTATGAGCCTTCTTGTGTTCCATCCTGGTCCTCTTCATTGTCCACATTTTACTTTTTTCTAGAAAGCATGAGTGGGGGGTTGAAGTGGCAGGGTTTCATGTTAGAATGCACAAAGGAACTGAGAGAGGTATATACTAACCTCATTCATCATATGCATATCTATATGTACAAGATGAGGGTAGAGTATAAGTCAGGTAGGGTTTGTTATAATCAGAGTCAGGGTCAGGGTATACTAACCCTGACTCTGACCCTGAGACCCTGACCCATGCTCTACCCCACCAACTTCTGAACCTGGCTGTTCAACCCCAGATTTGACCCGCAGGTCCAGACGGACCCTAGGGCTGAGCTGGTGGCAAGAGTGGCTATCATTGATGTTTGGTAGAGAGGTGTTACACAAGGGTTACAGGCATATGCTCATTGAGTCATTTGCCAGTGGTGCTCCACTCAGCTCCACATTACCTTTTTTGGGTAACAGCAGAAATAAGGAAAGTCAAGACTGCCCTGACCCTGACCCTGATCCTACTTAAACCTGACTCCATTAGGGAAGGTTGACTTGATTTCTCTCTATACAAGAAGGCATCAATGACTCACTAGGCTCTAACAACTCAACTTGACTCAGCATCTGTTCTGTTCCAGGTCCATGTTTCATAGAAAAAACTTGCATGGCCTGATTGATCTAAAGCCTGATGTATCCTTTGCTTTCCCACCATCTACCCTCTGTTTCATATTGATTATGATAGCTTTAATAACATTACTGTTGGCACTAGGGCTGCCGAGTCTGGGTCTTGAGAGAAAGGCAGACCCTGACCTTAACAAACCCTGCCCCTTCTGTGTATAGGTCCAACCAGGTCTGGGTCTCTGGGTCAGGGTCAGGGTCAGGGTTGGTGTACCCTGACCCTGAACCTGACAAACCCTACCTGACTTGTACTCTACCCTCATCTTGCACATATAGATATGCATATAATGAATGAGGTATATACCTCTCTCTCAGTTCGTTTGTACATTCTAACATGAAACCCTCTATCACTTCAACCCTCCACTCTTGCTTTCCAGGAGAGTAAAATGTGGACAATGAAGAGGATCAGGATGTAGCGATGGCGGTATCCGGTTTGGCCTTCCAGTTTGAAGCTGAACTGGACCGAACCAAATACCGTGTAGGGTAGAGCAGAGGTCAGGGTCAACTCGCAGGGGTTTCAAGATAGGGTCTGTCAGGATCAAGATACACCAATTCTTGAATCCGGCCAAACCCGGACCCTTTCTGAATCAACCTGGAGGGTCCAATAAGTTTTTGTGATTTAATAATTTCCTATCTAAATATGTTTTACGACTTTTTAAGAGACAAAAAAAATCAGATGTCACTCAAGTCACTCAAGTGACATGTGACATATGAGTAGATTGTATTCAATATCCTTAAATTCTTGAGGAATAGGCTACATATACTATATCTGAGCCAATATCATATAGTAAATTGTATATTATGTTGAAATTATTGTTCCAAATACATCTTCTGCTTCCCTGTCTGCAACCCGTGGGTCAACCCAGACCCGGTTGGACTCGTATCCAGAAGAGTCAGGGTTAGTCAGGGTCAGGGTCAGGGTCAGCCTTCTGAGACCCGGACCTGTGCTCAACCCTACGAATGCGCATTTAAGTTCAAAGTGTAAGGCCTGTCCTCTCCAGCACTGGTATCAGGCCACCAAAGGCCCGCAACACACAGTATGTAATGACAGGAACAGACACCCTAATAGGGGGGAATGCACACATAGAAAGCACGTGACCAAGAAAGATGTGTCAGACCCAACACTGACTTTAATGGGCCCTTTTGGTTCGACTTGAACCCGCCCGCCATACTTATGGCCCGACAATTCATCTGTTCTGTTCTGGGTACATGTTTCTCAAGAGAAGCCTGGCACAGCCCAACCTGAACCCTGACAGTCAGGGTCAGGGTCAGGGTCAGGGTCAGGGTCAGGGTCAGGGTCAGGGTCTGAGTCAAGTTAAACAGACCCAGACCTGTACCTGTGCTCTATCATACAAGTGGTAAGCAGTGAACAGGAAGGGGAAATTCACAACAATATAGTGTTAATACTATTTGAGCCAGGCTAGCCCTAAACTAACAAAGCCAATATTTTGGGAGTATTTCACCTTTTGTGAGTCAACTATCATAAATTTTGAATAGGTTTGAACTGAACACTTACTCAATCAATGAAGCTC